CCCAAGAGGGGGTATGAGCTGACGTGGTCACCCCCCCCCCCCAGTTGCCATGTGATCCCTGTCAGCCAGTGTGCTTTGAGATTCGGTTTACCAAACTGCCCTTGTCTCTGCTCAGAGCCCGGACGCCTGCCACTGGCGTTGAGACACAGCGCACACTGCCGTTAATATTGCCCTGACACTTAAACGTTTCATGACTAAGGCTCTCACTATTTTTACTGAGACTTGTTGACTTGAATATTGAATGGATTAATAGACAGCCTCGCTAATTTATGGAAGATTATTTATAAAAATGCATGCATTATAACAGACGTTATGTTTAAGAAAGATATTTTCATGGGTCTTACGTGTTGGCATACAAAAAGGTAAAGACAATTGTGCATTCTAAAAAATGTTGTCTTTTTATAAGGTAGTTTGCTGCCATCTAGTGGTCGTTACTAAGAATACCAATAGCACTGTACTGGCTCTGAACCTTCCTAATAATTAGAAACGTAAGGTCCTCTTCTTCGCTCAGTTTTGTATTGAAGCCAGGTAGAGTTCATTATAGAGCTATTGTGTAATGTAGGAACAGGCACGCACACTTGTACAATTTGTTCCTTTAGGAGATGATGGTATTTAAATTAGAGAACATATCTGTGAACATTAATCATTTGGGGAATAATCCACTATAAGCGATCTGTCATTGACCTCAGCAGAAATTTATGATTAATGAATATTCCTGTCAGATTAGCAGGCCACAAAAGCATAAAAAAATAACAACTGGTAAAAATAAGTGGGCAACCACGGTGTCCGTGCATAAAGAAGAGGATTGCACTTATGAGTCATTATTTTGCATGGTTTTGTCTTCATTTCATTCAAAATACAGATGTTTTGACATTCGAATATTCTCATTTACTGTTTTAGTCGAAGTGCTGATGTCTTTCATTTCATAAGCTTTGCTGGAAAGCGCTGTAGACTGCATACCTAACCATATACGAGCCCAAATCACGGTATAATAAACACGGTAAGTTTTGGATGTGCATTATAGCCTTCAAGTAATAGTTACAATGTCTGTCATCTGCTTCTACCATGGGGCTGGCTGTGGGCAAAGCCCATAAAACCAGTAAGAGAAATTCAGTTGTATCCAAATCTGTGAATGCAATCAAAAAACTAAAATAGCCAAAAGTCTTTTATTTTGTTAACTCGTGGTTAAGATTAGGGCTGTGTAGAGGTTAGGGTTGTCAGTCTTGGGATTAAAATGAATGGACGGTTTGGTGTGTGTGTGTGTGTCTGTGTGTGTGATGTTACTTTCCTGATGTCACTGTTACACTGTGGTCACATGATTACTTAATATAGTTCATGTTATGTTCTGGACATCGTATGTGGGAAGTTATTACAAACCACACAGATGGCGTCAGCAGAGGTGGTGGTGTGACACTGGAGCATGCACTTTCTGTTACTCTCCTGTAGATGGCGATGAAACTGCCTCTAATTTAGTGCCAGTCAAGGACAGGGAAATAGCAGCAGTACTTATAAGGGTACATTAAATGGCATATAGTTCAAGAATAAGCATCGCAAAGACATAGGATAGATTATTGGAGAGTTAAATGCGAAATTGGTGACTGAAAAACCCGGCTGGCTTAATTCAAATCCCCATGTGGGCTCATTAGTCAGTCATAACCAAAAAGGGCCTATAGTGATCCTGATTTATTGGGCCCATCCACTCCATATTGATATAGTTGAATTTTTTTGCTGTGTACAGGGGCGGGGCCCTAGGGGCACTGGCCATAGCTGGAAGCTGATTGGCTCCCACCATGTCCCCACCCCTATCACTCACCGATTCCGAACATACTATTGGATAAAGATAAGGCTGACCCATCTGTATGAATTATGACCTCTCTTATGTGCCCCAAGCTAAAAAAATCACCCCAGTTTATATAGTTCTGGCAGACTTTTCTGATGAATGGTGCTTTTTTCTCAGTTCCATGTCGCCGTTCAGTATTGAGGCCGTGAGACGCACGCGGAGGTCCGAATCGCCTGACTCCAAGAAGAGGCGCATCCACAGATGTGATTTCGAGGGCTGCAATAAGGTGTACACCAAGAGCTCGCACCTCAAAGCCCACCGGAGGACGCACACGGGTGAGCTTACCTACGTCACCACCAGCGTTGCATTTCCTCATAGACAACTTCCGATTATTTATCGTTATACTGAAGTTGTGAGGCAGTATGTACAAGACATCCTAGAACGATATGAGAACCAAATAAGAATCGTAAGTTGGATGACGTTGATTTTAGTAATGCTGTTTTATGAACAAAATAATGCAAAGAAAAAGGCAAAAATATTACAGAACAAAACAAAAAAAATGACTACATGTACAGCTGAGAATAAGAGGAGAGCAGTCATGACTGCTTGTCAGCCATTCAGTCCTGTCATGTTGAGCAAGGCTTATCTCTGGTTTTCCTAAATGAATCTGTCTCAGTTCCTGAATGATTTCATGCAGCCTCATGTACCTGTAAAGCACTCAATTTATGATTTCTCCCTCTGGTCCTGTCACAAATCTGAATGTGAAGTGTGTTTTTTGAAACTTCTCATTCCTGAATCTTTTTTGACTCTTGTCGTTTTCTGTCTAGCCTGGTTAACGTGTGACTTACTAACTCTGAACTGTCCCCGTTACTCAATTTCCTTGAGATTCCCTGCTATTTAAAAATGTACTTCAGAAGTGAACTGTACAGTCACACCAAGATCTCACCAATCCATGCTAAATAGCTCCTTAGATTATAATATATAAATTTAATTGGCGGAAGCGTCCGTAGGTGAGGTCCAGTGGTCGGTTGCCATGGGAACATAAAGGCTCTATGACGAGCCCCTTGTCATTGCTGGGCCTGCTACCAGCTGACAAAATATATATTCCTCTGACAAAATATTGGCAGCACAGCACCTCAGCAGGGAGCGTTGTCAGCACACACCCCCAGCGCTGTGAGTTTGGGGCTCTCCCTGTGTACATGTCAGTTTCCTGCTGTATTCGAACACAGCATCGCGACGCCCTCCCTGAGCCACTGGAGGTCACTGGCAGCCTGAATGAATCAGTGGCAGCCGAAGAAGAAAATTCAAGTCAAGCCAAACTTTATTGTCATTTCAAATTATGCAAGCGTGCAATTAAACATTTGTCTGAGTCTTTAAAACGGCTTTACAATGAAAAAATAAATATGCGATACAAATAGTGTAACTTTCGTGCTCCTCTTGATGTTTGTGAATATGAATGAATGGATGAAAGTCACGTTTATTTAACGCTTTTCAAGACGCCCAAAATGCTGTACAGAACCAATCGGGAGCCACTTCAACCATCAGCACCGTGTAGCTCCCACCTGGATGATGTAATGACAGCCATTCTGCACCAGTACGCTCACCACACAGCAGCTAAGGTGGTGAAGGGGCAGGAGAGAATTCAGCAGTTTAGATGTAGGAGATGATTAGCAGGTCAGTTTTAGCCAGGACGTTAGGGTACCACCCAGGGATCTTTTATCACCGCAGGGAGTCAATAGTTGACTCCATCGCTTTGGATCTTAAGTCGTAGCAGCTTGCAGTTTCACCTCGTCACGGCTGCCTCAGCTCCAGTGCCACTGTCTCATTGCGTCTTTTGTCCTGCATGCTCCGCAGGTGAGAAGCCATACAAATGCACCTGGGATGGATGCACGTGGAAGTTCGCCAGGTCGGACGAGCTGACGAGGCACTATCGCAAGCACACGGGGGTGAAGCCCTTCAAGTGTGCCGACTGTGATCGCAGCTTCTCACGATCAGACCACCTGGCGCTGCATCGCAGAAGACACATGCTGGTGTGAGGTGCTGCAGGGGGGCGGGGGGGGGCTGCATGGAGGGGCAGGACCCCATCCACTGCACGTGTTCAGCTGGCCTGAACGCACCCCCCTTCCCCCTCCACCCAGGTTGGGGGGGTCTGAAGATAAGGTCCTTTCCGTTTTGGAATCGTGTCACGGAGCACTGTATTACCTATTTCTTCGAACATTGAAAGTATTTCATCGGGACAAGAAAACGATGTGGAGTGACAGATAAAAACGTTCCTGTGTCACGCCCCTAAAGCAACAAAGTATTCAGTTTTTAAACGGAATTTTTATTTCGGCTGGTTGTTGGTCAGATGGCTGCTTTTCTGCATCTATAATGTGAAAGAACACTGCAAACACAGCAATTGTGTCTGTGCGGGGGTCCCGCAGGGGGGCCCCGAGGGCGGAGCAGAGTGAAACACAAGCAGCTTCCTCTTTTGGAGAGGATCGTTGCACAAGATCTTGCAGCCCCCCCCCCCCCCCCCCCCCCCCCCCAAACCCCCCCCCCCCCCCCCCCCCCCCCACCCCCCCCCCCCCCCCCCCCCCCCCCCAGCTCCACACGCCCTCCGGCCTCCACCTCGCAGGAAATCGTCCTCTTTCTGGATGGTTCCATCGGGACCCATCTTTGAGAGACAGTACTCCGAGAAAATGAAGAATCGCAGGGCCCAGGAGGTTTAGAGCAGATCGACACAGATCTTCACCCACTCAAAACAAATCCGGTGAATGAGATTAAACTCCCAAATGGCAAGGTATCAAGGAGCATATTTTCACACCCATCCGCACATATTACGAATATGTTTTATTCAGTGTTGGTTTCCATACAGTGGATTTTTTGAACACAAGCACATGATCTTACGAAATGTACATCCTTTACTTCTGTATGTTTATGGCTTTTCATGATGGTGATGCTTTATTCCTGAGAGTTCTTATTATACAGTTTTTGTCTAGAAAAATGTTATGGGTGCATTCTGTGCTGTGATTAGCGATCGGTAAAGTGCAATCTCATTAAGTAAATATAGTTATATAAAACCTTTTTGTTGTTTTCCTTTGTTTTTTTTATATCTTAAGCTGCCTGCTTTGATACCATATAAAAAGTCCCTTACTAAACATAACATTTTCATAATATTCATTATGTATCATTTAAGACTTTCTTGAGCACCTTACATTTAAAGTAAATGTGACCTTGTGACCATTGCCTATTTTTTTCCAGAATAAGATTCATTTTCGTTTATTTTAAAGAGAAAACAAGTGCTGTCGAAATTTCCGTGGATGTCTAGCAGGAATTCAGTGCACCCTCTGCAGACTGTGGAGCCCCCACACATCAGCCTCCCTGTACTCAACAGCTGTGACTGAAGCTGATCAGACTTGGTTTTCTACCAGTGTACCATGTTTTTTCTATACAGCAGATTCCTCTATATTTATATTAGATTTGTATCTGTGACCTTCTAGAACACTCAGTTTGACATTGGTATGTTCTTTATAGACATAATAATGCAAGGTAATAATTTTGATCATCTGATTAAGGGTAACTGTTAGCATGTTTAATGTCCATGGGTATTTAAAAAAAAATATTGAACATATTTGTTCAGTGTTTTTGTTTAATACACTTAGAAATTGTCTCTGTTTGTAAAACAAAAAAAAAGCTATATATTAAAAGAAAACTATTACAATAGCAATAAAGGGATGTTCATAACGCAAACAAACTTATATCCCTGTTTTGCAGCTGTTTGATTTTCCATTTATGGTTCAGCTATCTAATCCACTGATACCACTACAGATGCTCTGAGGCAGTAGAATTAGGATTTCTGCATAAATAACGAATAAAAAGAAATCAGATTTTCGCCTGTAGTAACCATGAATTTAAACGGAGTGTTTGAACATGCTCTGTGTCCCCTCCATACGGACACTCATGACTGTGTTTCCTGAATCCTGCTGTTTGGCATAATCCATCGCATGCATTTATGTCTTTAATAGACGCAATGCATTCAATCATATTTAGCAAAGAACTGGACCTGATTCAGTGCAACAGCCCTCCTTAATAATTGAAGTGACAATAAGATGGTAGCATTAGCTACGTTTTAATTTTGGAAAATTGCGCAGCTCGTGCTTATTAACGATGTGTCGGACAATCTGCTTAACTTGAGAAGAGAACACACCACTGTCACGCCTTTTCACTCAACTACCCGATAGCTTTCTTGCTAAAATAAGCAATATGATATATTTTGGTATCTGATTGCACAAGCACCCTTATGTATGATTAATTCATAAATTTGTTCTTAGCCTAATGCATTGGTGGAGTTCTAGCCCTGTCTTACAATTCTCTTTATGCGTCCTGTGGGCTGATTAGCATGACAGTACATAAATAATTCACTTTTTAAATCTCCCCCTGATATGTTTGGCGAACAGGTGAGAGACTGGCTGTGTTAGTGGTGAGCTGTTTCTATCTGCAGGGACAGCAACATTGCAGCAAAAATACCAGTCGCAATATCAATTCCAGCACCTCCAGAATGAGCTGTAGCTATGCTCTCATGCATGCATGTCAGTTGCTGTCATCAGCACCTTCTTCCTGAAGGTGTGAAGCCCGGTGTGACCACTGACATCTAGTGTTAAACTGGCATTAATAGATGCCCAATCTGCTTCATAGAGTGCCAAGACAGAAATTGTGCAGTTTATGGTTGGATATAGAAATAACCTATTATAATATCGAAAGTGGGCTAATTGTCTGATGATGAATACTTTTGTGAAGGAATATGGTAATATGTCAGAAGAATACATTTGCCTACTTTTTTGCTCTTTGTGGAATATATTCAGAACAACTTCAGACCAATGTGTTTCTCCGTTCTATTATGAATACGTTTCTCTTATGTTGTTATGCATCCTATTTGTGTAGACATAAAAATATCATTTTATTTGTCTAATAATCAAAGTTTGATGGCCTTTTATGGGATCAGACATATCATCAGCACCTTGTATGTTACAAAGAGTAATTAAAGCAAAGTTCTGTTTAAAGTTTAATTACACAGTAATAGTCATCAACATATTTTCATAATGTGTACTTTTTATACTTTTCTGAAATGAAGGGCACTTCATCATTGCATATAAATATTTTCTGTATAAAAGGTGTTTTAAGATAATGTAATATATGTGATAGTGCAAAAATATTTTGAAACTGTTTTACTTAGGCTGTACATACTATTTAGTGGAGAGGCTTTCAATTTTTAATACAAATTACGTTTAATACATTTTTACAGAGTACTTGTGGAAGGGCCTTGCTTAAAATGATTGTCCTCATAAACAAATACAGAAATATGACCAGAGATTATGTATCAATCACTTTTGAATTAAATTGTTTGGTTGTCACTAAAACAAATGTGAAAATTACAGCAATGCAGGTAGTAAAAACTGTTTATGTAAATGTACATTTAAAAGAACAATTATAGAACACCTGTGTAAAAAAATGTCTAAAATGCATTCTTTATTTAAGCATGCAGTGTTTTATTCTAAATCACTATTGATGTTAGTTGCACGTCATCACATTTTTTTTTTTGAAACACCATTTTTCAGGCAAGTTGAACTTTCTGCCAGAACCTGCACACTGTTGCTAGTATTTTGCATGTGTAATTAGGTTTCTTACAAATGGTCTCAATATACATAAATTGTTAAATGAAAAGGCAACCATTGTTCCAGTTTGAACAAAAAAAAACTTTTCATTTATCTATTTTGTGGCACCGTCAACAAACCAATGCTATTGTTTTAATTTAAGGAATTACAAAAAACTTGTGCAGTTACTTTTATACATTGGCATGCATCAGCATGTTACTGCCATGATAGGCTTACTTGTAGGAGAAGTCTTATATTTTATGGCATAATTTGTAACGGTGAGCAGGGTTAAAGTTATGCAATAACAAACAGTGCCTCCCAAGTCTCATATTACAGTGCGCATGTGGTCAGATGTTACATTGAAACATTTGAACATTGATAGTTACCAGTAATATGATGGTGAACTTGCAGACAATTATACAGAGTAAAAATAAAAGCACAATCGCTCTTCGATCAATATGCAAAGATCATATTGAACAAACATCCCGACTTTTACAATTTACTTTTACTATCAATGCACTGAGCCTTACGGACAGCTACGGAGACAGTTGTGAATAGTCCCTAACACCAGTTTTGAATATATGACGTGTATGCGTGTGTGGAAGTGACATTTGATTTGTATGGATGCATTTACCGTATAACCTCAGTTTTGATCTAAAGGGCCATTCAAGTTTTTTTACCTCTCCAGATTGCACATACATATATACTTTCACTTTTTTTGTGTGTGTCCGATTTAATTTCCAGGAATCACAACTGTCAGTTAAGTCATGCAGTGTTGTAGTACAGTTCCCAGGGCGAAACCTCTACTGTATGTGTGAAACCCAAGATACCAGTCTTTAGAATTCTGTTTCCGTGAAAGCGACCTGGGGTCAGTAATGTGTTTGTATTATATATATATATATAATCTATTTTTTTTTTTTTTTTTTTTTTTTTCATTTCAGACCAATTCTCATAATTTTCTTTGCATTTGATAGTAGTTTAGCTGATGCTTATGTTACAATTTTACTGATATTATATAAGTGTTGTTCTTGTATGTACGTCTAGTGAATGTATTGTAAATATATTCAGAACTTTTCATCTTACTGTAACATTTTGTTATCAACCTACAATGATTAAAGGGAGTCCCTGTTCATCAAAGACTATTAGAGGCAGTCCCAGGCTCCTCAGAAAGGACGACAATAACGAGTATTTTCTTTTTTAAAAAAATGGTGTCTAAACATTTCTGTCAGTACTTTGCTTTTTCTCTGTATTCCGTTTTGCAGATACTTTGAGCTGTGAACTGAGTTTAAACAAATATATGTATAATAATCAGAATTGAGGCATGAAGGTTAATAAAATTGCATTTTGTATGTAACAAGACAAATCGTGCAGCCGAAGGAGAGTATTTTGTTCGTCGTATCAAAAGACGGTTAATCAAGGTTCCTAGCGACATATTCTTATCTTTCCACACAATCATATGCAAATAAGTTGGAACGGCAAGTACGTTTTTAAATTTTATACATGTGATTAAATACATGAAAATACATCATATTTATAATGCATCCTAATTTGGCCTAAAATTTTATAACCCATGTTCTGAAATGTTACAAATTTTATATTTATCGTCAAGAGCTTTTTAAACAATAATTTAATTTTTTCACTATCAAAAACATTGCCAAATATTTTAGCTAGTGGTTAAAACTAGTTATATTTACATTAAAAGGTTGTACAGCAAAGTGGTTTGGTACCCTCACTATGAATGGAACTAATTTGTTCTTCCTGCAGAGGGCGCCATTTGCTAAACCTCAGTCGTTTCTTCCCTCCTCCCTGTATACCCGAGTCATATTAAAATAATTCTCTTCCACTCTATTAGAACAATTAAAGAAAAGATTATCA